GGGCCTCCGTTTTTTTTTTTTTTGCACTTTCGGGGTTCGTTGAACGAGGCCCACCACCCCGTAGCCTGCGACGTGCGCGCGCGGCCCCCGGGGTCGCGTTCAATTTTTTTTTAACCACGTGGCGCGCAACGCGTTTGAACGCGGCCCCGAGGGGTATGAACGTGCGCGTTTGAACTTGAACGCGCGTTCAGCGCGTTCAACCGGTTGCACAACTTAGATAAGTTTGTCGTCGTGTACCTTGACGATATTCTTATCTTTCGTAAGTCTGTCGAGGAGCATGCACAACACTTAGAAACTGCACTCTCAGTCCTGCGACAGCACAAGTATAAGGTCAACCTAGAGAAATATGAGTTTGGACGTACTAGGATCTTGTACTTGGGTCATGAGGTATCCGCGGAAGGGATTAGGCCGGAAGATGCGAAGGTGGTTAGTATTAGGGACTGGCCACGACCTCAGACTGTTACTGAGGTCTGATCTTTCTTAGGGATGTGCGGCTACTATAGGAACTTCGTGAAAAACTGTTCCACGATCGCCTGTAGCCCAGCCAGGATGACTGGGATGAGAAATTGCCTCTCATCGCCAGTCTGTACAACAACGTTGTGCACAACAGTACCGACATCAGTCCTAATCAGTTGCAGTTGGGATGGAAGACGAGATCAGCTCTGGACTTCCTCCTGCCTGAAAACCGACCTGCGGCAACCCCTGGTTCAATAGAATACGGGGGCAGTATAAGAAACTGCTGCAGCAAGCTGTCGAGCACATTAAGAAGTCTCAGGAAGCAATGATTGCCTCTGAGAACAAACACCGTCGACAGTCCACATTTCAGGTAGGGGAACGTGTCTGGGACAGGAATTCGGCATCTCTAGAAAACTAATGCCACAGTACTTCGGTCCTTGGGAAGTTTTAGACATAGTTGGGGTTGATTTGGATGGCCCTTCCTATGTTATCCGTATCCCTGGTCACCTGCGCACTTACCCAGTTTTTCACGCCTCAAAGCTTGCACCTTTCGCTGAGACAGATCAATTTCCTTCACGGAGATCAATGCTGCCCCCAACCATGGATGGCCACATGGACATCGACGACATTCTGGAACACAGAGACATGCCTGTTCCAAGACCTCTCGGCCGAGGAAGACCTCCTAAACCCAGAAGAGAATACAGAGTCAGATTCAGGCATCACACAGATCTGAAAGAAGATTGGTGGTTCACCAGAGAGGAACTGGTTGAAACAGCTCCTCAGGTGGTCTCTGATTATGAAAGACAGCTAAACGGGAAGGCACCTGCGAAGTAAGCATCTCAGCGGACTTTCAAAGCTAAGGGGGATGGAATGTGAGGATTGAGCCCTCAAAGGGGCTTTGCCGTGATGTACATGTTCTGGGCTAAGGCCCCAGCAAGCCTCGTGCCCGCCCTAAGTGAAGGCGGGCCAGCAAATCAACGAGAGCCCCTTTTGTTCAACATTTCACGAAGTGGGGTCCAAACAGTTGCCGCACGCAGGTTGGTTGGAGTGCACCGAGTACCAGATCTCTGCAAATGCAGAAGGACCAGGGGCCCATAATTGGTTAGGCCCTGGGCGCATAAACGTGAGGCCGACATTGCATGCTGGACATAGAGGCCGAAAATGCCAATGGGAAACCGGTCCACTATCTGAATCTGGATGCAGGCCTTGATGAAAGAGGTGCAACTGTATTACGTGGGCCCCAACCGCATTGGGCCTGGGTACAGGTACTGGGGCCCAGGCGCAGGCTCAAGGGAGGCCGCCCACACGCAATACTGGCATATAGGCAGAGCGGGCGAGTGGGCGGGGAGCTTGGCCATTGCGAGCAAAGGCGGCACGCTGCTGCCTTGCGAGTGCAGGTGCTGCGCTGCGCTAGGCTGAGTGAAGGCAGGGTGGCGCTAAGCGGTAGAGCAGCCATAGCCGGGCTGCATGAGGGCGCTGGAGGAGGTGAGGGCGAAGGTGGTTCTTCGGAAGGTGAAGGGCGCTGTGTGGGATAACAAAGGAAGAGTGAGGGAAGAGAGAGAGAGACGTTACCTGGTGGAGAGGAGGTCGGCATTGGTGCTGACGTCATGACTCGCTGGTCGTCAAGTTGTCTAGTTGCTTCCATGCTGTAGTTGTAGGTATAGGCTGTAGAGTAGATAGGGCGCCTGGCGCCATTCAAGAGAGAGAGCTACTTCGGGTTATGTTGTTGATGTTGCCCTAATGGGCTTGGACATTGACTCACTACTTTTGCTGTATTGTTCTCAAATGGATGGTATCTGGATTCCAATGTGCTATCTGCTCTTGCTTTGACTACTCGGACTTCAGTGTGATTTTGCAATTGGTATCTCTGTGCTTCGTCTACATTCATGTTCCTTGCAGAAAAAAAAAAAGAAAAAAGGTTCTACACCCCCGTTTTTTTTTTTTGCTACTGTGTGTGGCCGGGAGAAATTCCCGAAACTTCGTGGCCGGCCCGACCGTCCCCTGCCACTGCCGCGGTCACAATCTCTACCGCCGGCCCAAAATAGGCCCCTGGTCGTGACCGGGGGCGATTCATATCACTGCACCCCAACTTGCAGTCGGCTGTTATTCCTCTGAAATTGGAACCGCGGCACTCCAGCGTAGCTATTTCCATATAAAATGATAAGTAAATAAATAAACAAATAAATGAACACACGAAAATAATGAATAAAAATATAAATAAAATTTAATAAATAAATAAATAAATAAATAAATAAACAAACGAATAAATAGATAATAGTCATCTCAACATCCATCCATACTTGTTGCATGAATCTCTATAATTGAGAATAACAGGATAATTGGTGGAAAGCAACCATGCGGAAACTTTTCAGGTTTAGGGCGCCCGAGACTTGACCATTCTGTCAAAAAAAAAAAAAAAAAAAAAACGCGGGTTAGTACTCTGTGCCAGGGGAAAACTATTGGCGGTATTTTCATCCCATGTCGGGCAGTAGGCGACTGTAGGCCCAGGGAAAACGGCCTCAGGTAGGGCACGGCGTGGGATGAAAAAATACCCCCCGATCATTTTCACTGGCCGCATACGGCGCATAGTACAGGCCTGGGTTTTCTCGGGCACCCATAACCAAAAAGGTTTCCACGTGGGCGCTTTCCACCAAGTATCCCGAAAATAACCATAAAAGGATCACATTAAAGCCCTAATATGGGATTCTACAAAAAATGTGGAAAATAAAAAGCTATCGGAAGACCTTAGAAGTCCTTTGTTTGCGAAATAGGCAGCCACAAATTAAAATAAAAAAACATTAAAAAAATTAAAAAAAGAAGAAGAAGAAGAAGAAAAGGAGTCCTTTGTTTGCAAAATAGGCAGCCGCAGATCATAATGTGTACAATGCCTGCTGCCGTTTGAGACTGTGAATGTGATCCCCGTGATGAGGCCGCATCGTGTTTGAGGCATGCCAGAGAAGTAACCAAGCGTAAGGAAGGCCTTCTTGCTGTTCTCCAGAACGGCAATGAAGCTCGCCGGTTGATATGTCCTTTTAGGGGCAAGGGGTGAATCAAACAAATTTGGAACAACGGAATGACTGACTCATATTAAGGGAGAAACAACTCCCTCACATCTCTCTTTCTCCCACAGTCCGAAAGCCCAAATCAAAGGCAAAAAAGGACATACCTGTGTCACACTGTTTCCTGGCAATGGGAGTCGACTGGCCGCTGTTCAGCCATCCCACTCTCTCTTCCCTTTGATACTCCTCTCTCCCTCTCCCTCGCCCTCTCCCTCTCCCTCTCCCCTCTCCCTCTCCCGCTCCCTTTTCTAGAATCATGAACGTGGAGTGCATTGGGCTGCTCAACGGTTTTTAGATCACTGTGACATTTCTTTCTAGTATCGACTCTTGACATGTGGAAAACTTTTGCAAAAATGAGTGACCTATGGTATGCATGGGTTCATCCATCGTCCAACTCATGTTCATGATATAATCATAGCGATTGACATAGCAATTATAGCATAGTACCATCCACGTCTACGGAAGTCGTAGCTGTCATAACACCTGGTTCGGTGCTATCATTTTTCCTTCTGCTGCAACTTCCACAGCATCCGTATGCATTCCCGCATCAGCATTAATGATCGTGTCTGTTGCATGGCTGCTATTATTTTCCTGTGCCACCATGGAGCCATCAGTCACAAGCGTCACAACCGGTTGAGCCATCTCCTTCTGTCGCGAGACTCTCTCCTTGTCTAGCTCTTTCCACTGCAGTTCCTCCACGAGAGTCAACAGGCACTCCCTCTGCACAGATAACGGAATAATAACAATTGTCATGAGTTTAGATGACCATACGGAAAAAAAAACAAGAAAAAAAACAAATACCAGACGCCACCGACGGGTGTTAAAAAAAAAAGAAAAAAAAGGAGATTATGTTGACATTGTTGAGGCAATCAGGACCCGAGGAAGGGAAAAAAGATGATCAATCAGCTTTCAGAAGCATCTGAAGCACTTTGATTTATATAAGGGGTAACTACGGCGCAGTCACGAAAGTAGTTTGTAAGTGCATGTGAAACTCCGTTTTAGCAGTTTAGTCAGGGCCCGAGTTTCAATTGCAGTTGAAAAACTCGGGCTGCGCAGTTCAGTCAGGGCCCTCGTCTATCCACGAACAGCAGATAAAAAAAAAAAATAAAAAAAAATCCCTTATGCTGTGATTGGGGTCCTATACAGGATGCTACAGTGTTTGTCTGGAACTGAATGAAGCTATGCAGTTAGCTGCCTCGCGTGGAATCCTCCCTGCCTGGCTGGCAGGGCGCTACAAAGGACCTCACACAAGAAACAAAAAAGGAAAACGACCTGTTTCATGTTCCTCACTTCCTGGCCAGATACATTCCTCAAAGCACTGGTGAGGTGAGGGCCTTCCCGACGTAGGTGGATTCGAAAGTTCCTCTTTTCTTCACTTTTTTATTTCTTCTTTTTCGTTTTTCTGTTTTTGGCCTCCATCCCTGCCCCGAGCCCCCACTTCTTCGGAGTAGGCTACTCTTGAGACTTCGCGTTTTCCTGTGAAGGGTAGTACCTGCGAATCTCGGCTGTGGCCGAGAGACATCTCGGCCGCAGCCAGTCTGGGGTGTGGCCGAGACATCTCGGCCGTGGCCCAACCATGGGGCTGTTTTTTTTTTTGTTTTTTTTTTCAGCCACGGAGCGGCACGGCACGTTACGGCACGCAACCGAAAAAAAAAAAGAGCAAAAAAAGAAAAAGAAAAAAAAGAAAAAAGAAAAAAAAAAGAAAAAAAAAGAAAAAAAAAGAAAAAAAAAGAAAAAAAAAGAAAAAAAAAGAAAAAAAAAGAAAAACGAAGAAAGCAAGAAATGGCCATGTGCCTGACAGAGGCGGTGGAGATTCCTACCACTTGCTGGCGGGTGCGAGGAGGAGCTGACTCATTGGGAGAACCCTTGCAGCTCTCAGAGGAGCAGCTCCCCCTCAGGCCCGCTGAGCAACTCTTGCCAGTCTGTGTGCTGGAGCAAAAACAAAGTTAGGGCCTCGCCACACCTATCCCGAAAACGCNGCAGCTCCCCCTCAGGCCCGCTGAGCAACTCTTGCCAGTCTGTGTGCTGGAGCAAAAACAAAGTTAGGGCCTCGCCACACCTATCCCGAAAACGCAAAAAAGTTCGGGAGCACTCTCCAACGAGGAGGACGTGAATTTTCCGTTCCGGAGGGCTCCCCGCCACACTGCGCTCTCCAAGGCGGCAGTCTCCAATTCTTCAGACGAGGCCCGACATTTTTTGGAGAGCGCGGGCCTCGCCACACCACTCTCGAAATGTGCAAAATGAGAATGAACTTCTCGCTAGAACATGGCCAGATGCACCCGCCACATTTTTTGTCTTTTTCACATTTAGAGAGTGGTGTGGCAAACCCAGACAAAACGGTGGCAGCAGACATTTGTCGGTCGAGGCGCACTCTCCAATTTGGGGGCGAAATCGGAGGAGCCTCGGACCACTCCTCAAAACCGGTGTGTTGCAGGCGGGGCCATCCACAAACTTCGAGAGCACTCCCGAAAACCGCGTTCTGGCCGCTCTCCAATTTTTTTCTGACACCGATTTTGGAGAGTTGGTATGGCGATGCTTCTCCTCTCCAAATCGGTGTTTTCGGGATAGGTGTGGCGAGGCCCTTACAGACCTTATTCCTTGAAAGTGCCAGCCTACAGCCTGTCAATGGATCCTAGAGACTGGGTGTGGGAGCATCCCTTGCACAATTCCGAGCTGGTAGGGATATCTGAATGTACAATGAAAATCGGATACTTAATACTGACACCGCGCGCTGATGTCAGCTGGTTGGTCGCAAGAAGGTGGATGGCAACGGGATGGGTCAGGGACACCTTGACAAGATTATCTGCTGCCCTCCCTGCATTCTGGAAACAATTGATGGACTTGGTAGCGAGTAAACATGCAAGCTTACTCTGGCTGCTGATGCATCTGGCATTACCAACCAATACCTGGTGTGCTAGAAGAACAGCAAAGGCTATCCCGGAATGCGGTGTGTGTCCGGGGACCCGCATGGAAGACATTCAGCACTTTGTGTTGCATTGTGACCTCTCGAGACCTTTCTGGGATTGGTGGAGACAGTCGGGCGTCCCGCTCCCCGCTGTGGATTCCCGCTGGGAGGATGATTTCATCCTCCTGGGAACAGCTGCCAGGAGATCGATTCCACAGGTACAATTCGCCCATGCGGAGGAGACTATCAGAGTGGCCGTCCTGTGGACTCTCTGGAATCTTAGAGACGCGAGGTTGAGAAAGAATGAGCATTTGACCCCGCCAATGGTTAGAGCAGAAATTAAGTATGCAATTAAACAAGCTATAGCGGCAGACTGGGAGTATTGGGTTAAAAAAAAGGGATTCTCAGCCAAGTCTGTGAAATGGTTTGGAAACAGATGGGGCAAATTCTCGGGCCTGGTTACTGCGGACACAGTCCAGGACGGCACACTGGTGATACGGTTTTCAATTTTTTTTGTTTAGCCTCTTATTGTTGTACCTCTTTGCTTTTAAAAGTTTGTTAAGTGTTTTGTTTCCCTTTTTCTTGTTGAAGTTTGGATGTTAGGTAGATGAAGACTATAGTACACTCTGAAGGTTTATCACGGGTTTGACATTTAGAAGATGAGTGGTAGCTAGATTTAGGAATCTGTGAGTTGTGTTTAACTGCGGCCGGGATGGGATTGGCCGGGAGTGCCTCACCCAGCCTGTATGGCTGCAGTACAGATGTAAGGGACGTCGGACCCGATTTCCGACATTAATAAAAGA